ATATTATTGTAACAAGCTTAATAAAGCGTTTGTGAGAAAGATTCGAAGGTATCCTTATTAGCTCCACCTGATTAGTGGATACGATACTTTGTATATAATATACATAATATATAGGTTATGAAATATTTATTATATAATATAACAATATAATCAGCATTCAGCATAGCTGGTATAATAATTAATATTTAATAATAGGTGTATTCAGAATACCGTCTTTTTTTTTCCGTATACCGTATATTCAGTTTTTATACAGTAATTTTTACGTAATAAAAATCAAAAAACTTGTTCAAAATTTGTTATGACTTATGGTTATAGTACAGTTATGGTTTGATAACGTAAAAACGAAGAGAATGAGTGAGCGAGTTTATTTTCAGTAAAATATAAAAATTGTAAAGTTATTTTTTTCTTGTATATAAAATAGAGTTTTGTATAGTTTATAGCATATAATGTATATACAGGGGTACTTTAAACTTTTATTTCTTATTGTTGGGTAAATCGCTCGCTCCCGAGGGAGCTTATATTTCATGATTTTAGATTCAAAAAGTATACATAAAAGTTAGTTGTGTGAACGAATTATTATTGACTCAATTCTCTCACCTCGGTCCTCTCGAATATAAAGGTATACCATTATCAATTACGTATTTCAGATATATAATAACTTTTGTTATTGAGTGTAAAAAAATATACCATATAATATTATTAATTATTATCATCAAGTCCAACCATTCATATAATATTTTATTCTTAGTTACTGTTGCTATTTTTTTTTTTTCAATAATTTATTATAAAACTTGTATTAATATTCTACAAATTCGCTAGATTAAACCGGTGTGAAAAATAATGCACCTGGATGTTTGGACCATATCGTTTACATGGTTCATTATCCCGGTGCGGGATAATGTGGGATAGTTTTAAACCGGTCTAGTTTAGCGAATTTCTAGATTGTTGCATTTTTTTACGGTTTACAAACCAGCCGTATAGGTACGTACGACATTATTTACTTAGTGATAACTGTAGAGTTGTGGATACCTAATACTTATAAATTATAATCTATATTATATTTATGAAAGTGGATGATATTATATTATAAAAGGGTTTTTAAGAATGAACTATATATTGCCATTTGTCAGCCATTTCCTAATTTTGTCTATGATAAGGATGTGTTTTTGTAACACATATTTTATAATACAGACAACCAATTGAACGCGTAACCAAGTTAATAAAATATCTCGGCTTCCTTTATGACTTATATGATCGTAAGAGTATCAATGGTGAGTTTTTTTTAACGTTTTCCTATGTCTAATTATAATAATAATACATTGTTTTTTAACTTAAATTTTTTTATAATACGGGCTTAAATTAAAATCCCGTTTTTACGCGAGCTACATATTTGAATAAATTATTTTTTTTTAATCTTGAAGACTGAAGTGGATTTTTAAATTGATTGTGAATATACAGTAAGTCTCTATAATATCTATAAGTATTCTTGTAAGTTGTAAGTTAGTACTTGACTTAATTAATTAATTCATACTCAATATTAACAAAAGAAATGGCCATTAATTCTGAACACGATGGAATTTTACTAACAAATTGCTTTTGCAATTGCAAAGAAAAACTGCAAAAATGTATTCCTTGTCGAATTTTGAATGCTAATCCTACTTTGTACGATTCAAACTACTTTAGTCTTTAATGGACTATCCCGCAGATATCCTAATATATTTGGTAAATAGAATAAGTAATATCTAATTATTTTATTAAAAAATTCTTATATAAAATCAAAATTTATATTATTGGTTAATTATCTGCCAAATGTAGGAACTGTGCCAGAAAATTATTTTTTCCCTTTATGCAATGCACTTGATAAGCAGCAAGAGCATAATGAATTTTCAGCAGACCGTATACAAACTCTTCGTACAGACTTTCAACAAACAACGGACCGTAGTTCAGAAAAACTGCTAAAATTAAATCCCGATTCAAATGTGAACAATTTAAACTACTCAAATGCATTATCCAAATCTCCACATTCATTTTGTAAGTACTATGTAAGATAAGTAATTTCTAATTAGTTTATTAAAAATCATTGTTTAAAATCAAAAATTATATTATTAATTTTAATTATAAGTCAAATGTATTGTAATCTACGAACAGATGAAATTTTATTTATTTTCATTTATTTTCTGGTATTATATGTTTCAAATGCAAATTTAATAAAAAGAAATGTATGTATAGTTGTATAATAATGATAATATTCAATACAAAAAATGTTCAGGTGCTCAAAAACAAAAAGAAAATTTTGAATATCATTCAGCCTTAAGACGTAGTTTATTTTCTTATAAGCCACCATATATAAGATTTTCATCACATGATATTAAAGGTAACTACTAACGATTTTATTTAATACTTGGTTGAAAATTATTCATTTTTCGATAATATAATTATTATTACAGGTGAATCATTTCCATTGTCTTTGCAAAGGTTATTAAAGTGGAAAATAAGTTCTACTACTCCAATTGTTGTACGTCGAACAGTTCAAAATAGTGGTTTTGAACTCGTTAGAAGTTTACCTCTATCCCGTGAGTATATCTGTACTTTTTTCTTTTGTATTATCCTACCTAAATGTCAATAATAATAATTAATGTTTGTTTTTATTACTATTATTTTTAAGAATCAAATTATTGGATGGGAACTTGCGCTAAACATATGAAATCATTTTGTTTCAAGACACTTCGGGAACACCAAAAACGGAACCATTTTCCAGGTACTTTTCAAATTGGTCGTAAAGATAGGTTGTGGAAAAATTTGCAACGGTTAATGTTAAAATATGGCAAAGAACATTTTGGGTTTATACCCACATCATATATATTACCTCAAGAAGCTAGAATTTTACGACAAGTTTAGGAGAAAAATGATGAAGACAAATGGATTATTAAACCAGAATTATTATGAAAATGAATCCTAATAATAATGATTAAACTAATATCTAGAATTTTTATTTTATTTATAGCCAGCATCTGCTGGAGGATCTGGAATTCGTGTTATATCAAAATGGGCTCAAATACCAAAGAAAATACCTTTAGTTGTACAAAGGTACATAGATAATCCATATTTAATCAACGACACCAAATTTGATTTAAGACTCTATATACTCATCACTTCAATCAATCCTCTTCGTTTGTATCTTTATGATAATGGGCTTGTACGTTTTGCTTCATTTATAATATTTTTTGTTATATCATTGATACTATTATTCATTTTTCTTTAATATTTCAGTTAAGTATTCATCTGGTCTTACCACTATATCTGATAGATATATGCATTTGACAAATAACAGCATTAACAGACTTAGTAGTCAGTATACTGAAAACGAAGATGCTGATGCATGTCAAGGTCATAAATGGTAAATATATTGTATAAATGTATATTTATTTTAGACTTAATATTAGAATCTAAATTTAGAATTATATAACGATTATTAATTAATTACAACTACTTAGGACGTTACGTTCACTATGGACGTATATGGAGAAAGAACGCAAGATTGATGTTAAAAAATTATGGAAGAGCTTAGAAGATCTAGTTGTAAAAACTGTCATTAGTGGTGAATCACCGATGAGTGAAAGGTGTAGTTCAAATCTGAACAATAGATATAACCAGTGGCGTATATAGGGGGGAGGCCCCCTAGGCCAGAGCCCATAGTGAAATTGCAGGTACAATTAAACCATTTTATGTATATATACACTGTTTACAGTTTTTCACCATGATTAATTTAGCCGGTTGATTAAAATCGTTTTGAGGAATCAACAAGGAAATGTTAGATTGTCAGGACTTGCTTTGATGACTTTTATGTGTTAAATTCACAATAAGATAACATTAAAATATATATGTATATACGAAATTATCTATATTTTTTAAAAAATAATTAAAAATGAATTTTACATAATAACTATAAAATTTAATTTGCGCAATTTTTATTAGTATTTATATGCTCCTTAAAAGGAAGGATAGCACAAAATGTATAGTTATGGCTATGTTAGTCCGTTTGACGCGCTATGTTGACTATAATATATAGTGATAAATTGGCCCATAGTGAAAATAATTTGTATATACGCAACTGGATATAACGCATATGAGTTATTTGGAATAGATGTTTTGTTTGATGAATATCTTCAACCTTGGATATTAGAGGTACCTTATTAAAATTACAAGTTTATTTATATTATATATAAAACTTATAACTTACTCAACCTTAAGCAACTACCTATATATTAAAGAAGTTTTATGCAATCTATACTTATATAATCATAAAGAGTTTAATTTCAAACACAATTATGATACTCGCCAAATTGTAAACAATACTTTTCAAATGTTCAAATGTAATAGTGAATTCGGTAAAATAAACCCATATTATATTAGTTTATATTATTGTAATTTGTAATTACCTTTGTATCAATATTAACAGTTTTGATAATTTTACCCTTTATAAAAAGTATGTTATCTATAAAGTAACAATATCACAATTTGAACAGAAACTAATAAAATTAGTTACTCACTACTCAGAGTTACTTTTATATAAACACTTTAACAATTTGTCTTTTAATACACTAATGTATATCACTATGTTATTATTTATCTTATCTTTATTTTTTGTTTTTTATGCTTAAATGTATTTAAATCTGTAAATAGTATTAAATAATAATTCATAAAATTAAGAAGCATTGAACTCTTGTCTCCCCACAAGCTACGGCTTTTGGAGACAAATTTTTTCACATTCTATTATATTATGTTTTTAAATTGTAATTTTTGAAATAACAATAAACTAAACATTATTATTATTATTATTATTATTATACTTTTGACTAATTGATTAATTAAACATGTACCATGTTAGGTAAATATATCTCCTTCATTAGATACATCTTCTCGACTTGACTTGGCTGTCAAAGGACCATTAGTCAAAGATCTCATGAATATGGCTGGTTATCATACCTATCACAAACAGAATGTCTCGTAGTACACGTCATGTGAGTCATAATCGATTGCACAAATATTAATTTAACTTAATAACTAATTTCCATAACTAACCATCAATAAATATTTTTATTAAATTAAAATGTTTGTGTAGAATTCTTTACTCGAGGTGTTAGGAGTCAAAGCACCACTATGTTATGACAAGAGATTATATACATTGAATTTATCTGCTAAAGAAAAAGAAAAACAAGAATATTATACAAATATTGAATCTAGAGAAGAAGTACAAAATTATTGATTACAATTAAAAGTACATATAAATTAATTATACCTAATCTTATTTGTTTAGTATATTGATAGCATATTGGATGATCTATTACCAGATGATATTCGACATCTTATTGTGTATGAAGATGAACTTACACAAGTTGGCTCGTATGTATTTCATTAATACATTTTTTTTTCTACATTTGTAACTTAATAGTTAATACATAAAGCAAAAATATACTACTAAATTCTTTATGATTTTAGATTTCAAAAAGTATTTCCAACCACTTCATCTTCTAAATATCATAAATACTTCGATAGCTCCAGATATTATAATATGCTTCTTGATGCATGGGAATGTAAATATAGTAACAATAGAGGAGAAGGTAAGAGCTATTTATTAACAACTCTAAGTATACAGTATGTAAATTAATCAATTTAAAAAGTATATAAAAATACAAAAGTAATTTTATTTTCAAGGTATTGCTGTGCTAGAAAAGTTATGCCAGTTAAAAATTCACCTGGAAGTGCCAGACATTGATGAAGACTGAAGAATCGAAAGGAAAATATTCAATTATCATGCAAGATATAATACTAGGTAGCAAAATCATAATAATATTATACAATTACATTTGTAATGACTAATATTTTTTTATCATTACAATTTTTTATTATTGCGCCATTGAAATATTGTTTTAATAATATTTTAGTATTATTTTTTGGCCGGGGTTTGATTATTTTTATAACGTTCCAAACATAATAATATAATAATAATACAAACATAATATTTTTTTAACAGCTAAAAAACATTATTTTATAGTTAAAAAACTGAATTTAAAATTGTTTTGTAACTACTTTTTCAATTTTCAAATTACTTGTAATCCAACTTTTTATAGTGGAATCTAATAAATTAATAACTTTTTAATATTAATTTATGATATTCAATTAATATATTATATAATATCTAGGCTTTTATTAGTCACGTATACTTAAGTTATAATTATGATGTTTGCTAGTTTATATCATTTTAAAAATAATTTACCCTCTGCAGATATTTTAACTATGTAAATATTCGGATCCGGACATTTCGGCGTGGCCATCTCGGCGTGGGTCGATTTCGGCGTAGTCATTTTTCATAAAATGATTTTAATCGCGTTTAGATAATATAATGTTAGTATTGATTATATTGTACCGATATCATTTATCTCACTTTCGTCGGTTAGATGCAGGTATGCAGTATGAACTGTATATAATAATAATATTTATATATACAGGGTGTTCCAAATTTCATGTGACAGCAGATTTCAGCATGATCTACTCAAATTAGGAAAAAATGACCTATGTGAAAACTTATTTGAATCACATACTCAAAACTAATTTGATATTAATTGTTTTTTTTATTAGTTAAAAGGGGGAGATTTTAGGGGTAACTTTTAAAATCTAAATGGGAGTCTATATTTTTGAAATATGATTCCTACAGGATTTTTTTTTTAATGAATTTTGACGTATCATTCATAATTATTGGTTGATAATTAAAGAAGCTATTTACATTCGAATTTTGTATTTAATTTGTAAAAATGCCATCAATGAATAATAATAATAATATACTTTGTGCTTCTGTTTTACGCCGATGCATTGTTGTACCTACAACCTTTATAATCTGTACGCTATCTAACTACCAATTTACTAGTAATAAAACGTGTATTTGTTATCTTAATTTAATTTTATATTACATAGGACAGGTCAAGCTACATGATTCTATCGATAATAAAAAAAAAAAACAAGGCATTAGATAATAATACACCGTCTACATATATTATGTTTATTGGATATTGTTTTATTTATAATCAATGCTATGGAACGGGTTTTGTACTTTTGTGTCCTCAATAATTTTACATAATATTTATTATTTATAATATAAAATTAGAAATAAATATCATTCAGTTGACAAATAGGCAATAGCTAATTATACCAAATTGTTGTATAAATGTTATTATACTGCATAAAATTATTTAAAATGTATACAAATAGGTTAGGTACCTGTATCTGTATTTTTGACTAATGTAGGTGCCTATTCATATTTTATAAATTTAAATAATAAAAATAATAACCAAGGCTAGGAACTTAAAAATATGCAGTAAAAATTTGGAAAATATGCAATTTATTGAATAAAATAAATTTTACATACAAAATTTAAAAATTTAAATTAGGTAGGTGTCTGAAAAAAAAATTAGAAGAATTTAAAAAAAAAATTAACACCGCACGCTTATGTATTTAATTACCTACGATTATACAATTTATTTATATCATGGTACAAAATATTAATCCAGTGGTAAATTTGAATAAAAATAAATATGGGCCGGTCAGCGATCACTATTACAAGTTCTCAGTAGTAGATATAAAGATTATAATATTATTTTTGGGAGCAATAGTAATAGCCGTTGATGAATTAATTTATTTTGTCAAACATTATAAAAGTATAAATTTCTAAAAAAAAAATTGTTCACGTTAATTATATGATAACATATGCATATAATTAATGTTCTTATACCTAAAATATGCGAATTTGTACAAAAAATCACGAAATATTCAAAATTATGCAACAAACATTTTTGTATTTGTAATATACTTACTATGAATCAAATTTGTATCGAATCAGATTTTCAATATGCACTTTCTAAACAAATATGCAAATGCTTAAAGTTCCGAACCTTGGTAAGACTAATAACATACTTACATACCTATACTTTCATATTATGTTTGAATCAACTTAATATTAAATATGTATATAATTTCTAAACGCTGCAAAATGACAACATTGATTTCAAAAACTTGTATGATTAAACCTCGCGTTCAACATAATGTTGAATGATGCATATAAAATCAAACAGATTTTGAAAGAACATCACCTTTTCACAACATTAAGATATGATCAATCTAATATTAAATTATAATAACTAGGGCTTGGATGTTGTTACATTAATTTTATTAAAATTAATAATTCATTTACTAAAGACTAAAGGTTATGGCTAGACTTAGAGACTTAAAAGCTTTAAACACAAACATATACGCATAAAAATATGAGCAAATATGTATACTCTAGAAGTCTAGAACAAGACAATTTTGACTGAATTTATTAAAAATGTATTTAATTATTATTAATGTATTATCAATTTTTCCTTTTTTTTTAAATAATTGTACCTATTGCTCCAATGGCTTAAGCAAAAAAAAAAACGATAGGCCCATAGGAGGGTTTAACATCTGTAGCATGGATCATCACATGAAAGTCACACAATATTTACACAACGTTGGTAAAATATGTATATCACATTTGTGTAAGCAATTTAATTTTTAAACTACATTTTTATGAAATTTTTTTTTGCTCTAATAAGTAGAAACCTTGTAACCTTATTAATTAATTATAACAACATCAAAGTCCTAATCATGACATCAAACATAATTATCAAGTATTTTAAATATGTCAATTGCATCAGTAAAAATTATCGTAATATATTCTGAGTGGTGAATAAGGTTAGGTTTTACTGGTTTTAGACCGGGATTGAATATTTTTTTAGAAGCATTTTCAGTCTGGATTTAGGGCAATTTTAAAACTTTTAACTTAATTTTAATAAATATAGATTTGAAATGTGTACAATTTTCATAAGAAAGGATATAAAGACAAATAATTGTTGAACCATTTAGTACATTTTAGTACATTCAAATTAGCAAGGAATATGCAAGATATGCATGGTAAAATACATTTTAAAGCAAATTCATTATTTCTGACAGACTATCCATTTTAACCCTTAAATGTTCACTAGGCGAAAAAAGCACCTGAACATTTTAAAGTAAGGTTTTTCTGGCTTATTTAAGGTCACTGAACTTAGAAAACATCGTCCTCAAAAAATTTGAATACTCAAATTTGAAATATGAGATGTATCTTATAGGACACAAAATCTCGAGGCCACTGTTTAACACATGTATCCCTGAAGATACATAATCCATATTTCTTATTACTTAGTTCTATAAATTATACGTCGATCTATAATATTATATTGATGATCTAAAAACCAATTTAGGTTATTTTTTACATGCTTTTCTTTAACTCACAATGTTTCATTCCTGTTGTCTTCAAATCTTGCGCGCTCGATTTGAGGCACTTATTTACGATGAAAAATTCTGAAAATTGGTATAGACATAGGTCTTGGAAGGCAATACAATAATCCGTTGTTATTTTGGGACCCGGACTTCCAGGTCGGCGATGACGGGTGTGCAAAGTCATCTCCGAGGAAGAAGAATAAATAATATACAGGTACGAAATTTTGTTTATGAACGGTTTCCATGGGTTATAAAACCATTATAATAATAATTACTTTTAACGCGTTTCATTGTTAAAACAGTAAGAAAATCCTACAAAGAGATTGACAAAGATAATAAAAATAATAAAATACTAAACACCATGTAATATTGACGCCCTTGAAGAAATGGAAAGAATGCGGGAACTGAGATAATTAAAGTATAATATTACATAGTTGCTTATAATATTCAAATGTACCGAAAATAATAAATATTATGCTTTCAAAAAATCGTTTGTTTCTAATTTATAGTTATCACTAAAAAATAGAAAATAAAATAAATAAAAAAATAATTTTTAAAAACATGCTTTTCTTAATACTACTTAATAAATGAACGAAAAAGTTGAAAATAAACTTACTTTTAAAACAATTTCTTAATGAAACTTCAATGTTAACAAGATATTACTAAAAGTGTTTATAAAATGTATTTGTTGAACAATTTTTAAAAATTCTGAATTACAAAAAAAGAAATGCATGGGGCTCTTATGAGTCAGGAATATCTCTTACAAAATTGGAAGTGTGATCAATAATCTTTAAAATATTTATCATAAAGTTTATCTAAAGATTCAGTTGTAGAGTGCCCTTACGTAGGAGTTATCATATAATATCATATATCATATAAATAATGGTATTTAATTTTTGTATCTCCATAGATACAACATATTATAGTTACTAGGAAATCAATATGACTTAATGAAATTACTTAAATAATGCATGAAAATATTAGTTAAGACTTGATTTAATGAATTTGCTCACTTCATGGAAAACTCGACGCGTTTTCGCTCCTATAGAACGGGTTAACAAAATGAAAAAATGGTAATCACAATAACTTCACTGATACGCGTCAATCAAATGATAACTGTTAACTGATATCTATTCACATTCCCGCCAAATATTTTTTTTTTATCTATCATGAATACTTCCAGTGTAGCCAATAGTCTGATAATAAAATGATTTTTCAAATTCCGCGAAAATAATTTTACAAACATAATGTATCTAGTAAGATACAAAATCTATTTAAGGGTTAAAACTTAATTTAGTATTAATAAATGTGAATACATTTGAACTGTGTACAATTTTGATATGTAAGGATCAATATTCACTAATAAAATGATACATTATTGTCGTCATTTAGTAAATTTTATTATACTACAATGATTGCGGAGCTATTAAGTTATGTATGATAAACTAAATTT